AAAAAAAAGAGAGAAGAAGAAGAAGAAGAAGAAGAAGAAGAAGGGGAGGACAGTCTAATATGGAAAAGGAATAGCAGAGGAGTTCTCTTTGAATCAGTCTATGGGGTGCTGAACAGATATGATTATATAGCACGTTGGGCCTTGGCACTGGAAGCACATCTGGAAGGTGAACATCCCTTTCAAAGTGGCATGTTTCTGCTGGATAGTGGTCAAGGAGGCTGTCTTACACATGACAGTTAAGATGTTTTATGCGTGAAAGGGAGTTGAAAACAAGAGTCACTTGTTTCAACACTGCAGAGTAGCCAGCAGGTTGTGGCAGCTGTTTATGAGTTTGAAAGGTCTAAATTGGACAATGCCCAGGACAACCGCGGAAATGATAGCATGCTGGAATAATCCAGCTAACCTATTAAGGAAGAAGTCTTGGTGGAACATGGTCTCTGCATGTATTTGTTGGACAATTTGGAAGGAAAGGAACTTAAGAGGTTTTGAAGGACTAGCAAATTCTGATCACAAGATCATCATGAATTGTATATTTTTGTTTCATTTTTGGTTAACAGAAAATGTAGATTCTGTAGTTGACATCTTGGGATCATGTTTTTATTTGTTCTTTTTTGGGTCTTGTAACTCTGGTTCTCTTAGCACAATATGCTGTCTTTTTTAAAATATATGCAGATCACGACAATGTATATAAGAAAACATTCGACCATAAGGTAAATGGTTTATTTGTCTTACTTTTATCTCGAATTGCATCTGCATAAACATTTTACTTGGAATTGTATCAAACTGGAATAACAGTAGTAGTTTTACTACAGTGAATTTGCATCCCCCCCCCCCCCCCCAAAAAAAAAAAAAACAAAAGCCACCCCCACACATAAAGTGGAGAGATTCTAAAGCAACAGGTTTCAATCTCTTGAATTAACTGGGGTAATATACTTTAAACTAGTTTCAGGCAAAAAATTCACCAACCCTGTCTATTGGTTAATCATGTTACTATTCCAGCATTAGTTTAGAAGACCATGAACATAAGCAGGTATGACCTAACCCTAGAACAATAGCAGGTAAGATCCTAAATGTCGGAAATAAAGCAAAGCCCAAGATGCAGTAATGCAAACAGTAGATACATGCCTCCGTCACTTGACTGTTGAAATGATTCTCAATCTTTGACATTAGCATGCTGTCCCGGTCATTGCATAGCAAGTTGAATATGGCACCTGCTCAACACAAAAGGAAACTCATATTAAGCACGTTCCATAACTAGGTAACAATTATCTAAGTTGCTCGGACTCTTCACTTTCAGTGCCGCACCCGTGTCGACACGACGTGGGTGTGGGTATGGGTGTGGGATCCGTGTCGGATCTGGTCAACCAATTTTGGATACTTTGACCAAAATCAACGGAGAAATTTGGGACAGATACAATGATTTTTTAAAACAAATCAAAAGCTAGGGTGATATGGAAGAAAATGAAATACCTTGTATATATAAATTTCTATGTCACTACTTTTCCTTTTATCTCCTTCTAAAATTCTACTCTTGTTCAATATTTTCTCCTTCTCGGAATACCTTGTAAGTTCTCCACATAGTGTCTCATAATTTAGACATATTTTTATAACTCTATTTTTAAATAATTGAATTATTTTTAGCCGAATCCCCGCACCCGTATCCGTACCTGGATCCATACCCCCGAATCTTTAAATTTAGATCATGAAGGATCTGACCTCTAGATCCGCACCCGTATCGGACACCCGCACCCGAGTCCGAGCAACTTAGACAATTATATAGGCTCATTTCAGTCATATTCTATCATCAGACGAATTAACACAAATCTACAGGTTATTTTTCCAAGCCACCATCTTATCTGTTCTCTCTTGATTTATTTTCCAACAGGCAACAAATACACATTAAGTCATCCGTTTAAGAATGAGCACTTAGCAAAAGGGTTTGCACATTGCATCATCCATTTGGTTCCTCATATTCTAATGGAACAAGAAAACTACTAGATGTTATCTTGTCAAGTGATCTCTGTATTTAAAGAAGTTATTGAACCTCCCTTTCAGATCCTAAAGCTTAGTCCTTCGCTTCCAGGAGACACCATAACCATTGGTGGGAGAAAGCATTTATTGCAAATGTAGATCTATTGCAGTTCATCGGGTTAAAAAGGTTCTTTCACGGGTAGCCAATAATCTTCAATTACAGGGAACCAATGCTGCTCCTGTGTCACAGGGCAAACGCCTTACTCTTGCACTAATTTATACATGTGCAATCCAGCATTTCTTTTCCTTGTCACTAAGTTCTTGTCAGTTACCATCTTTTCTCTGTGCTTGGAACGGCGTCACTGATTGTCTATCTTATCTCTACGATACTACTGATAAATACTAATATTTTAAACAGTAAATTCTACAACTATTAGCAAAAAATACTTTCTCTCAAACAAAAAAATCAAAAAAGAAGAATAAATAGTAAGGGAATAAATACTTGTTTTCATGTCACCATGGATTTTCTTAGCGAGTACATATTAAATGATTCTTTTTAAATTGGAAAGCTTGAGAATTTCTATAATAACAAAAGCAGTCCAGAAATTTTCATATACATATATTGAAGTGCTTCTTCCCTACATATCTCTGTGTTCCCAAGGGGATCTCATCCTGGTGAACTCCTATAACAATTACAACCTCTCAATTAACGCTTAAGACTAAAATCACTTTTTCAAGACCGAACATCTCAGTATTTCAGGCTAAACATATGTCCCTTGGTAATTATTGATTCGTTATTATATTCAAGTCTATTTCCTTAATTTCTTCCATGCTCTTGAGAAATGCACCACAGACACTGTAATAATAATTTGTAATATCATAATATAACATAATATCTATAAATAATACATGTGATAAATAAGCATAGATACAGACAACAGCAGGGAAGCATGCATAAAAAAGTGGAAACATATTACCTTTGCGGCCAAAACGCCCAGCTCTACCAATCCGATGCAAGTATACCTCATGATCTGGCTCTGATGGACTCTCATGTCTCACCGGGAGATCATAATTAACCACCAAATTAACCTGCGAACAGATTGTAGTGGCTTTTAGGGCTTCTAAATGTTGACCATCAAAACAGAAATCAAGAAACCATTTACAAAAATCAGATACCATGCCTATGAAACAAGTTACACATCCAAAAGAACCTTACTTTTATTTTATATCTGGCTGGCAACTGGAAAGACTCGAATGTAAACTTACCTGAGATTGGTCAAATCCACGAGCAAGAAGATCAGTTGATATAAGAACTTGTGTCAATCCTTCTTTGAACTCCTTGATTATTTTGTCTCTATCTTCTTGCTTCAGAGCACCTTGAATTGTTGTCACTTCATATCCATAGTCAACCAATGATTTATGCAACATACTCGCACCGTTTTTTGTACGAACAAATATAATTGTCTGCCCCACCTTCTGTCCTAGTTCAAGTATTTTGTCTTTAATCACCATGACTTTTGAAAGTTCATCCGGACACTGCACTTTATACTGCTTCACTGAATCCAGCGAAAGTTCTTCTTTCTTCACAAACATCTGGTTGTAATCTTTCACGAAAAGATCTCTAACAATTTTTGTCACAAAGGCTTTTACATTTTCCCCAAAAGTTGCAGAAAACAGAAGCACCTAGAAATTGAGATGATGAAAAAGAAAAGTTGAACATCAGTTTTTTTCCTAATGAATAGCCCCAACGACGGATGCTTAGCAGCAAGAACATATTATAAACAAAAAATTAGCACAGACCCATCCGCCGCCCTCCACGTCCCATCCCCTTCTTGCCTAAAATAAACTCAGGTGTTAACCAGCTCCACAAAGTACACTTTAAATTGAGCCATTCAAACATTGGTAGTAGTATGGTATCCCAATCCCTAGCCCTAAACATAGAGGAAACATGCAGCAGCCACTATTCTCCAAATCTCTACAGCCGCTTGCTCTAGTTTCAGGGGATGTAATGAAAGGTAAGACAAACTGAAAATTCCACCTATAACACGACACAAATAATGTTTGCTTTCCATTACTTGTGAGCAACAAACATGACCGGCTGATTCTAAATCTCATGTAGTCATCGAATTCCTCAAAAAGTATTTGAAGTATTTGAATTAGTTATGTCAACATAATGTCAATTTGATGCACCCAACGGTGCCACCTAGCACTCACTACAGCTGGAATAGACCATGGGAGACCTGGGTTTAAACCCTAGCAGGCCAGGAAAAACAAGGCGGTCTCTTCCCATATGTCTAAGCCTTTGGTAGAAAGATTTACCTGGTACCTCTGTTGGGGGAGGTAGCAGGTATCCTAGTGAATTAGGAGAACACCAATGTCATTTAAAAGAAATTAAGTGTCACCTTGATTTGTGATTCTGACATGCTAAATTCGCGTATGTATGCAAAATTTTCTCTTTTCCTTTGAGGATGCATGGTCAGTTGGTCACAAAGATAATTTTTAACTTATGCATGCCTAGCTTAAATAAGCGACACACCTTAGCTCTGTGGTCCAGTCCAGGAACTAATACTATCTTACTTCTACCACCACAGAACAACATTTAACCTAGCTCCCAATAAACTAAGTTCTCATTTCTAGCACCATAGCACATCATTATTTATTTGGGGGAGGAGGTATCAAGTCTTCCAGGGAGTGTAATCATCTTAAAAATGTGAGTCATCCTTGTGCAAAGACATGGCACGAAAACATTGGAATTATAGTTCAATACTTGGTAAAATTATAGAGTCAGCACTATGTTGCTCGGACACTCCGAAAATGTCGCCGGGTGCGTGTCGGGTCCTCCAAAAGTAGTGTATTTTTGGAGGATCCGACACGGGTGCGGCAGCATTTTGGAGAGTCCGTGCAACATAGAGTTAGCAAGCTTCTTAGTATTAACAACACAAGCAACCACTTCTTTCTGTAATAGGTAAAAATGCAATGCGCCACTCTAAGGCTCAACAATTGACAGCATCATCTCTGCATGTGATCTCTAATATTTTCAGACTCTTTTACAAACTAAGCTATAATTAATAGCAGCAATAAACTCCCCAAAGAGAATTCCATCATCAGGTAACTTTAACTGAAAATACGGAAAACACAAAGGCCAAACTTTAACCAACCTGGCTGTCAGCACTGGCTTTGACAATTGCCTTCATTATTCTTATGGAATCATCCTGAAAACCAGTCTGTGCACAAAGAACACTAATAAGCAATCAGATACCGAGCATGAAATTCAGACAATGTCTTAATTGTACTGGAATGCTTTCATCGTCCGCAGTCATACATTTCGTTTTTCAGTAAGCACTCAACTCCAAATTCATAGTTAGTATTGGACCAGCAAACAACTTGTCTGCCAACTATGTAGTAATTTACATCAACCCTGAGATAGATGAATTATGTATTGCCTCCCAACTTTAAACCATTTTACAGTTTCTATTAATACTACGCCGGTTACTCAATGAGAATCCTGCATTGTGGGGCAAAAAGCAAAAAGCTAATGACATGGAGCCTTATCTTTTATAGCACACTTGACATGTCATGAAAGATAGCCTCATGTTTATGTGAATATTCCAGCTAGCATATGAAACAAATAATTGTATCCAGGAAATGCAGAATTTACATACTACATTCGAGATTACTTCTAGTATGTCAATTCCTTCTTCAGAGGTAAGGCATGTCATTGAAAAAATGTTTAAATTTCTAAGAACTTGTCTGCAAAGCTAACAATATTCTTTCCTCCTAGCAACAGGTGCTGGTAACCTTGAATACAAAAATACTGGAGGATCAATCACAAAACATAAAAAGAATGTGCTCACACACACATCACCAGGAACAAAAGAGGAAGTCATTGATAACAGGTCAAAGCACAAATTGTTAACATTTAGAGCAAAGTCCCTAAAACATGACAATTGACAATTTAACATTCAGAAAATTAGCTCATTAAGCTCAACACTACCTTCCATCTAAGAAACCAAACGCTAAATCAAAAATGTTTACACCAACAAACGCAAAAAAAGAAAACTGATTTTAAGAAAATACATGTATAACCATTAACATCAATATAACAGGGGGGATCAAAGGAACAATGCAGATGGAAAATCAGTTACCTCAGCCAACATGTGGTCCGCTTCATCAAATACAAGAATTTTCATGCAACTCATGCCCAGTTTCCTTGCTGTCACCCACTTATTTATAGTTCCGGGTGTGCCAATTACTACTTGTGCTGAAACCGGGGGCCGCTTTGAAACTGGTATGTAATTGGCTGCATCTGCTGGGATAGCTAACTCTGATGTTATACCAGTGAACTTCCCCATCTTCAACAGAACCTCCATATTCTGCAAGTTAAATTAGATGATGCTCTAAAATATTTATTTCATTGTCATTGCATATAACTTTTTGTTTTGGTACTGTCAAAATTCATTAGTGTGCATATAAGTTTTCGAATGGTATTTTCAGCAATACAACTTATATCCAAACAAAAAAGGACAAAGAGTAGCACTTATATCAAACCTGAATTGCTAATTCTCTGGTTGGGCAGATACAGAGAGCTTGAGGGGCAGCAAGCTTAGGGTCAACCCGACTCAACATCCCAAGCACAAAGCAAGTAGTTTTACCAGAACCATTATGAGCCTGAGCAATTAGATTCTTGTAGGGCGGCGTAAGAATCATAGGCAAACTAATCTCTTGAATATTACTAGGTCGCTCAAACTTCATCTCTACATATAATCCTTTCAATAACTCCGGAGATAAGTTCAAATCCTCAAATCTCTTAGCTGATTTGTACAGAGTGTCGCCAGAAGTAACCTATATTTCATCAATTACACCCTAATTTAGTTATTAGTATAACAAATCAACCTAATGCAAGCTACAATTGAGTGAGGGATAGCGTACGGCTTCTATTCTGGAATCTTCTGGATCATCGAGAGTGGAATTTTTGACTCTTTTGGTCTCATCGATTTGTAGAGATCCGATTTGGGGCTCGGCGCTATCGTTTTCATTAGCGGCTGAGGACTTCTCGGCTTGATCGATCTCGTCGGCTTCGTCTGCCCAGCTTCTGATTGCCGGCGGGTTAGCCGTCGTAGTTGCGGCGGTGCTACTGGAAGTATTTGAGCTGTCAGCCATTGTTCTTGTGGCAGAAGAGGAGTGGGAAAGTGAAAAAAAGAACGGGGAGAAGTAAAATATATATGAGTAGGAGCTGTGACCGACTTATGCTCTGCGTAACTAGTGCAGCGTTGCTTTAGCATGACGCTAACTTGCGCTTAAAACAGGCAAACTGTACCGTGAGAGTGTAAATTGCAGTAGCACCCCACAACTTTCACGAAGTTACACTTAGACCATCTATTGCTATCCTGCTTTAAGTTCTCAAAATCATGATTTAACCCATTCATACTCTTTCTTTTGAAATCCATTAGCATTTTTACAAACCCATTAATATTTTCACTAGTGTTCGTAGAAGAAAATGCTTTTCGGAAAATAAATTTTTAAAAATGATTTATTTTCTATAAAGAAATTTCCTGAAAATATTTTTTGGTTTTGTTGAAGAGTGGAATATTTTTTTTGAAAAATCAATTATTAAATTTTTGATATTGGTGTTAGCAAATCAGAGAGTATTTTTAATCTTTTGGTAAAAATTAGTTTCTTCAAAAAATATTTCGTGCTTGGAACGAGCATGAAGAGATTAGCAATATTTTTTTTATCTTTTGAGTTGTGCCAGATTGGTCGCTCAAGATCTTTGAAAGTTAGGTGGTTCTTCCTAAAATGCGTTAAGGCGCAACAATTGACTTAACATATTGGGGTAAATCGCTATTTCGGTGCGGGCCGCGAGAGCGATATCAAATCGAGGTAAACTCTAAATACTTGGGTCTTTCAATCAAGCTCCCTTCTATCTTTATATTTGAGGGCTAATCTCCGTCCGGCTCGAGGAAACCTTTGCGGGACATTTGGATCTATACCCAATTTTTGAGTCACCTTTTAACTTATACCCGCTTTGCAAAAGAAATTGCAAGCGTACCCACTTTTCGCGTAACTTCAGACATACGGGCCTGAAGTAACAAATATTTATGTCTGAAGTTTGAACTTGAGAATGTTTTGCCTGAAGTGTAGCAAAACTTTAGATATTTTTTCCTAAAGTTTGGCCTGACTTGCAAAAGCAATCACGCAAACTTCAGTTCATAGTGCAATGGCAAACTTCAGTTCAATAAAACTACAGCATGTTTTGGATGAAGTTTTTGTTTTGTAATTGCTGAACTTCAGCATTCCAAGAGCTGAAGTTTTTGTTTTGTAATTGCTGAACTTCAGCATTCTAGGAGCTGAAGTTTGTTTTATAACTGCTGAACTTCAGTATTCTAGGAGCTGGAGTTTGTTTTATAATTGCTGAACTTCAGCATTTTAGGAGCTGGAGTTTATTGTGTAATGGCTGAACTTCAGCATTCTAGGAGCTGAAATTTTTATTTATATTTGCTAAACTTCAGCATTATTAGAGCTGAAATTCTAAACAACAATGAATTTAATAGATCATGATTAGCAGCGATTGATGTTGTTCATTTCAAAGATTAAAGAATGAAAAATATTTTCGACATGAAAATAAGTTACCACAGATAAATTAGAATCAAAAACCAATGTGCATGTAAAGCTAAAATATCTAAGAGGTTAAATTATTGCGAATAAGATCAAACTGAATATAATGGGACAAGCAGATATATATGAATCATCATGCTAGAACGCATAACAATATCTCAAGCTTCAACATTCAGAAAATGAAGGAGGAGAAGGAGGAGGAGAAAAAGGCCCAAAATTATTTAAAAAATAGGTACAAGTTAAAACTTTTTAAAAAAATGGGTATATTTTTGCACGCCTCTGTTACATTTTCGAACTGAAAGCGAGATCGTGCAATTACACCCGAACAAGAAAAATAGTTTTCATCATACAAAACACGATATCATCTTGTTGAAGAAAATTACCACAAATATTAATTTCTACTCCTTTCAAATGGGATTTAAATTATACACATAAAATATAACCTTACATGTGGTTCTTGGTGGAAGAGCTCAAATTAAGCCTTACAAATATTTACTTATGAAAACGTGTGTTTCGATATTGTTAATGTAGTACTCTTAAGAACTTCGAAAAGTTTTGAGCCCTATCATCCTATGCAAACATAGTGCGACGGGAAATGATTTTCTTAGCAAAGTGATCTTAATATTTTGATTATTCAATTGAATTTAGCTTCTTCGAGGGAAAGATGAAGTCATACCAAACGAAGTATGGTGATCTGAAAAAAAATTCTTTTTTCAAAATTTGTATCAAGTATGTATTTCGATATACGCTCTTTTATTCAACTGAAAATCAATTTCGACCAACAAAACATAGTATCATAATAAATTCTTATATGATGATAGGAAAAAATATTATGTTTGAGAAGCCATACCAAGTACGCCCTTCAGAAACAAGATTACTTATGATTACTTTTAGATGTGTTGTTGCCTTCCCACATATTTAAGAAAATAAAGTACTACGGCAAGAAATTATTTATCGAGTTATTTTACTATTTCGGTAAAAAGAAGGTAGTGGTTTACTCACAATAATAGACATAGTTTCTCAAATTAATATTAATAAATTATATGTTAGCTAGCAAGATTATAATTTAAGATACAATTGCAATAGTTATAGGCACAACATTAAATCAATTAAATATGATGAAATATCTCAATTCTTGTGGTCGAAATATCTCTGATGATACCTATCTGACTATTGCTATAATTTTATCATCTTCTCATAATTATAATGTGTTGGATTGTCTATATTTATTCATGTTATTTGTGGCTTGAATTAATTTTTGTATTTTTAAAAAACTCATAATCTCTATAGGTTTGGGAAATTTCAATGTTCTAATAGAATTGAGAAATAAATTTATTATCAACATCGAATTGGGATACATTTCTCTTATAGGTTTGGGACTGTTTGGGATCTATACATAGTAATTGTAGTTGGGAATTCTATATATGATATTATACTTTTCTTCTCATTCATAGTAGAAAATTCTCTCTACTTCTACCCCGAAAATTCAGCTTAGCCAAACCTTATTAAATCTTTGTGTTGATATTATTTTCTCTAATTGTCTTGTGTGTGATTGTGTGCTAATTAACCCATGATCCTTCAGCAACAATTCAATATACGATACATGTCTTTGTATTTTCACTTATAAAAAAAGGGAAAGAATATATGTTCATGAATATAATTTGATGACTAAAATAAATATTTGTGAATAATGTGAAGACTCTCATAAAAAGTTGAATTTTCATTTAATGCTAAAGTGATCATTTTTAGGCTAAAAAGTATTGTGATGCAGGTCATATGTTAATTACTTTCAAGTTGTTACTTGAACAGTTAACTCTTGAATCCATAAAGCAGATTTTTGCAATGGGTCAGAGAGAACCTCCTCCTTCTCTCTAAGATAGTTAAGGATAACATAGGAAACCCTAATCTTCCACACCTTACTGTAAAGTCTCTCGCCCTTTACGCCTTTGCATATTAACACCGATGGATCTGAACATTGAAAGAGAAAAACAACAAGCTATAGCAAAGAAGAACCCTAAAGAGAACCAAAGTCAGAATCCTCCAACACAAACCAAAGAAGTAGGGGTATCCTTCTTAGAAAAACTTAAATCTTGTCTTAATGAGTCGCAAGATGAGAGTCACATACGGGTTCGAGGAAATTTTGAGAACCTAGTCCCACAAGATGAATCCGAAAATACTCTTGACACGGATGTCTTCATTCCCATATCCTCGTCAGATAAGGAAAGAGTTTATAAAAATTAGTCCAATGCTTTAATCATAAAAATCTTTGGAAGAAGAGTAGGGTTCCAGTTTCTACAACAAAAACTTTATGATATATGCAAACCTATAGAAGCACTCTCCTTAATAGACCTGGGATATGACTATTACATGATTAAATTCATTAAGAAGGAAAACTGTCACGACCCAATTTCACCTATAGGTCGTGATGACGCCCAATACTATAACTAGGCAAGCCAACTAATAAATTAAACATATAGCGATAAAATTTAAATCCAAGAAAAATAATTAGACACCAAATTCTACCAATATGTGTGCCAAGACCTGGTGTCACAAGTGTATGAGCATCTAGTAGATCATTCAAAACTCCAAATACTGTCTGAAATGAAAATAGACAGAATTAAAAATACAAGAAGAGGCACTGGTAGCTGCAGGACGGCTCAGAAAGGCAGCTCACCACTACACCCCTGGATAACGAGGATGTGCGATCATAGGTCCTCCACTAGTATCTGTCTCAAATCCTGCACAAAAAGTGCAGCAAGTGTAGCATGAGTACGTAAACAACGTGTACCCAGTAAGTATCAAGCCTAATCTCGAAGTGGTAGAGACGAGATGACCGACTTTGACACTCACTAAGGTTCGACAATAATAAATTATAATTATTCAAATCAGCATGATTCAAAGAGTTAACAATAATTTTATTCAATTAGCAGAAGTAATAAAAATCCTTCAAATGCAACAATTTCCAATCTATTAATTAAATCCTTCAATTTCAATAAAATTTCCAATTTATCAAATAGCTTTACAAGTTGCAATTCAATTTCAATAAAATTTCTAATTTATCAAATAGCTTTACAAGCTACAATAAACTGTCCAAGTATCGTGTAATTATTATTATTATTAAGCACAATTTCTGCCGAGGTCGTACGGCCCGATACAGAGTGTCGTGTACACTGCCGAGGGACGTGCGACACGATCCATAAATGCATCTATCCTGCCGAGGCGTTCGGCCCGCTTCACAAGAAAGGAGGACATTTTCTTATGTACCTCCGGAAGGAGAGTATATTTATAATAAGATAAATTCGGGAGGAAGAATATTTTTTTTAAATAATTAATTAATTTAAACAGAAAATTAAGCATATGGGATTTCCATCCTTTAATATCTTCCCTAACAATTCACAATATATATATATATATATATCAAATAATTTAATTAAGTAAAAAATATAATTTACACAAGTAATTCATGCTTTTGAGTCCTAAACTACCCGGACTTTAGCATTAACAGTAGTTACGCACGGACTCTCATCACCTCGTGCGTACGTAGCCCCCACAATTAATAACAATTATTAATTTAATCACCTATGAGGTAATTTCTCCCTCACAAGATTAGACAAGAGAATTACCTCGTCTTACTCCAATTTAATCTACTTGT